CCTGTCTAATAATGTTGAGAGTAGTTAAGCCCAGACTATGCCATCCTAAGGTCGAAACCGGTAGGCATCGAAGCCGTTTAGGGGAGTAGACAGAGTTGGGGCGCTGTTAGGGTAAATGATTGAAGCAAGAAAAACATGGTAGTGACCAGAAAAGATTGTTCAGTATAACTTATTAAAAAATGATAAACTCTATGATAAACAAAGATGTTAGAGGGAATATGTTTAGTAAACACATGATAAGAATAAGGAAAAATAATAATCTTATGAGCAACCACACTTATTTACTAGATAATAATAATGATTACAAAATACTCATATTATATACCTTGAACCAACTTAATAACGACATTAGGAGAAAAATTTACGATTTTTTAATTTCTTTTGAAATAATTAACATAATGGAATAAGGATATACAGAACTAATTCTATCAGAAGAAATAGATATCTTAGATTTATATGAACTAGACTTATATTCAGATTAATGATCAACTACGAATATATCAAGCACTGGTTACAAACTTTAGAAAATATAAATTTATTGTCTAAATTATTAAAAAAGAAAATATAGAAGAATATCAACTTACAAAGTTAATTCCGCTATTGACAAACTACTTACAAAATTGTTATTATATTATTTTCATCTATTAGTGTGAGAGATGAAGTTCTATAGTGAGAGGGTGATCTTCAACAATTCCCCACTCAATCCTTGCCTAGGCCCTTGAAGATTTTCAATAAAAGCTGCTAGGCTTTCAGCCCAAGAAGTAAGAACTTGAGCCTTAACCTTGGGTTTCGAAATTTACACTAGAATGAGCTTGGGGGTTCATGGGTATAAGAATGGATTTCTTGCATGCATAAAAGATAATAGGGTATTGAGAGATTGTGAACAAGAAAGGATAGTTATTCGGGTGTAAAATGATAGAAATCTTTCACAAAAGGGTCCTAAAGTCACAGTGCACACTTAGTGCTTGATAATTTACTTAAATAAGCTAGAATCTTAATCATGTCTCTAATTCTTGATTCGATTTGTAAATTTCATAAAGTATATTGAAGTTGCTAAGATACCCGGAATTTTGTAAGAAATTAAGGAATGCTTTATTGAGGTATGCATGGCTAAAAATCCCCTTTTATTAAAAATTGAGCTCCGGTGGCGTTTACGCAAATGTGATAAGACTAGAATTGGTTGTTGTATTGATTGTTATTTCACATGAATTGGTTTGCAATTATATATATATATATATATACATGAAGGGTGTGCCTCAATATGGGTAATGTACTATTCTTGATATTTAGAGATGTGCGAAGAATACGAATCATGTGTTGAAATACCTAGGCTATAAGCCAAGATTAAAACTTAGATTGTCATGTTAATTATGTGAAATCTTACGTATGATTGAAACTTGAATTGCTTTTGTATGTGCCTATGATCATAAATTGCAAGGTTGACATTGATAGTGAAAATGATGTGATAATTGTGTCTGTAAGTGCCAATGAATTGATATGGTATATGTGAAATAAAGATTCAAATGAGATGATTAATGAGAAAGGAAACAACGCCTAGGTAAGGTGGACTAGCCGATCGGGTCGTGATCGGACACCATGCCGCACACATGGTGGTAATGTGCTAACATTGAATTTTGGAAAAGGGAAATGAAACAGTGATTGAGGTATATGTCTCAAATGAGGCAACCTAGCCGATCGGATCGTGATCGGACTCCGCTCAAGATAGCGGTGGTATTGATAACAATGATGGACATATGAAATGCCCCAAACTAAAGATGTGAAAATTATGTGGAAGTTGTATGATTCTTTATTTGATGATGTGGTGTTCGGTTAAAGCTTTGATTATCTCTTGTGATTTCTTTGTTCTTGAATGATAGTTCTTTCTAATAAAATGGTGTTTAGTTATACATACTAGTACTATTCTATGGTACTAACGTCGCTTTTGCCGGGGGTACTACATTTTTAATGAATGTAAGTGGCTCCATAGCAGACAGTGTCGATCGCGCGTAGCGGAGTATCCTCCTCTCATAGTCTTGGTGAGCTCCATTTCCTTCAAGGGGTTATGTTGCACATAGTTTGTTGAAGACTACCACTTTTGAGGTATAGCCGGTGCCTTGTTGCCGGCATTGTCATATTTGTATCTTTATAGGCTCCGTAGATATTTGTGTGGGTTATGTACGGGTGTTAGATGGGTTTATGAACTAGGTTGTAATCTAAACTCTTGTTTCTCTAGATTGTAATTGTATGAGATCTTGGAAACGTAACAACGGTTAAGGATGTGATATAAAGTGAACTAACAATGTTGAATGTACAATCTTTCGTATTAGCTAAATAAGCGATGGCATGGTTTCCTTAATCGCATTGAGTTTGGTAGAAAGTGTTTGATAAGGCTTTCTCGGTTAGGTTCACTCGATTGAGCACCGGTCGTGCTTCCCGAAGTTGGGGCGTGAGAAACTTGGTATCAGAGCCTAAGGTTTTGGAGTGTCCTAGGATGCTTATAAGTTGGGGGCTACTTGGGCATTTAGGAATAACACCCTTCTTTGTTATTCTGGATTGTGTGCCAAGACTTGTTACGAAACTATCCCCCCTCTAACTAGTGCATTGTTCTATCTTCCAGTAAATGGCACCGAAGAAGAAATCGAGAATTGGCCAAGAAGCCAATGCCACCTTAGGAGTGGCTGATGATTCATTGCTTGATACTGCGGGTGAGGGTAGTCACCCTGCTATCACCCTGCCTGGTTCTTCTATTCCAGAATAGACTACCCCATTTCCTACCCTTGCGGAGGATACCACTATCCCTCCCATTAATACTGATGTTCTGCCTCCGGCCCCAGCTCCCGATTCTACTATCTTTGATGGGGATCTTAGGGGGGCTATTCAGATGTTGACCCAGCTGGTGGCCTCTCAGGCCTAGAGGTCCAATGTTGTGCCCAGTTCATCCAGCCAGCAAGGGGATTCCACCAGTTCCAGAGTGAATAGATTTCTTCAATTAGACCCTCCAGTGTTTACGGGTACCAATCCAGAAGAAGATCCTCAGGATTTTATTGATGAGATGCACAAGACCCTCAGGGTTATGCGTGCAACTGAGACAAAGGGAGTAGAGTTGGCTGCCTATTGTCTGAAAATGGTGGCCTATTCATGGTTTGAGTTATGGGAAGATTCCCGTGAGGAGGGGAGCCCTCCGGCAAGGTGGAGCGAGTTTGCCGATGCCTTTATAGATCATTTCCTGCCTGCTGAGACAAGGGCAACCCATGTAGTAGAGTTTGAAAATTTGAAGCAAGGTAGCAAAAGTATGTGGGAGTACCACACGGAGTTTACTTGTCTGTCCAAGTATACGGCTGCATTAAATTCTGACATGAATTATGGGAAGATGGTAGCATTTTCTCAGGCCACAGAGAACCGTAAACTGAAGAATATAATGGAGAGAGAGGGTAACAGAAAGGCCCGGTCTATGGGCAACATGGAAGAGTCACTAGGTGGGGGAAGATTAGTTTTCAGGGGAGGATCATCAGGGCCGTC